CCCCCCCCGCCCCCTTGGCAGCCAGCTACTTGGAGCTTGCCAGATGCAGCGTTCTCATGAGCACTCCTCATGCCTGGATCTCCTTCTACCCTGCCGCCAGGCTCAGTGCTGAGTCTCCTGCTGCCCCTGTGTGCCCCTCAGGGAAAGCCCCCCAGCTGGCCAGAAGACCCCAGACAGCGGGCATGCCTCACAGGAGCCCAAGTCGGAGAATTCTTCTACCCAGAGCTCCCCGGAGATGCCCACGACCAAGAACAGGTTGGGCTTTGGGTAGGGGCCTCATCCTCTCCAGGCTCAGGGACCTGGACACTGCATGAGAGCCCCAGGGGGGCTGGGTTCCCCAGCTGCTTGTCTGAGACCCTCATTCACACCAGACCCCTTTCCAGATGCTGAGGAGAGCAGGAAGATGGGTGCACGGAGGGGGTTAGTGGTGTTCTCCGTGGGTCTTCAGGGGGGGTGTCTCCAAGGGGAGGCACTGGAATTAAGATCGAGTGAAGAGTCAGCCATGCTGGGACTGGCCTTCAGAGAGAGGAGAGAGCTGAGAGTTGCCAGGGACTCAGCCAGCAAGTGAGGCATGCTCGATGCCAAGGAGTGCAGGGCTGAACCTGGCTGCTGTCTGAGTGCTGGCAAGGAATCCGTGCCCAGGGGCTGTATGAGAGCTCTGACTTTCATATTGAGCCTGGCAGCCTTTGGAAGATATGGGTGTGTGCACCAGTTTCAGGCCTTTGCTGTCCTTGGGTTTTTTTTTTGCTCAAGGTTAACACTCATTTTTGTCAGTTGTAGGGCTTGAACTCAGAACCTGGGCTTTGTCCCTGAGCCTCTTTGTAACCCAAGACTAGTGCTCTACCACTTTGAGCCACAGCGCCACTTCTGGTTTTTAAGTGGTTAACTGGAGATAAGAGTCTCATGGGGACATTTCTGCCCAGGCTGGCTTCGAACTGTGATCCTCAGATCTTAGCCTCCCGAGTAGCTAGGATTACAGCATGAGCCACCAGTGCCTGGCTAGGTTAGCCCTCTTACCACTTGAGCCACAGCTCCATTTTCAGCCTATTCTGCATGGGCTGGTTTTGAACCTTAATCCTCAGATCTATCTCAGTCTCCTGAATATCCAGGATGACAGTAGATGAGCTACTGGAGGTGGCTGGCAGTGGGCAGGACCAAGGCACAGAGGCCTGAGGAGGCTGCTCCTCCCTGGGGCTGGGATCTGGAGAGGAAGAGCACTGGCTGGAGAGTCAGGCAGGAAAGGGAGCAAGAGAGACAGGCTTGGAGCCAAAGTGGCTGATTCTTGAAAGACAAACTTCTTTTTAATTTGAGAGAAGGAATGAGACCCCCAGGACAGACAAAGGCTCTGAGCGCGAAATGAAGTTGTGAGAGGTCAAGAGTGGGTTGTGGGGGTCCCGGGGTCTAATCCCCTGTTCTTCCACTTGGACTGGGTACACAAGCTCCTGTGTCTACAAGATTGGTCTTACAATGATGGCGGTGACATAACTTGGGTGATCAAGGAGATATACCAGACAGCTGTCAAGTGGTGGCTCTGTCTATCCGCTGTCACTGAACGCCAAGGCAATTAGGTGTCATCTGGGGGCAATGGGGAGCCACGAGAGCAGTGAGCTGAAGAGGCACTTGTGTCTTTCCACATTCTAAGGGGGCTACACTGCGAGGCCTGGGAGGCTCAGGGGCCACAGGGTGCTTGGATGGCTGTAGGCTGGGCCTCTAGGCAGGGAGAGGCCAGGAATGAGGGCTGACTGCTGGCTAACGGCACTGTCTGTGGCAGAGTGGACACGGCTGCCCAGAGAGCGGAAGTGCTGAAGGACTTCTCCCGCTCCTCGTCCAGCGCCAGCAGCTTCGCAAGCGTGGTGGAGGAGACGGAGGGCATGGATGGGGAGGACACAGGCCTGGTAAGCTGCCCAAGGGGCTGGGGACCCCACAGGGGCCTGGCATCTCTCTGGAGGTAGTCTGGAAAGAAAAACAAAGCTGGCTGAGGCTGAAATGTGGTCAGGGGAGGGACACTGCTCCTAGGAACTTTGCCTTCCTCCAAAGCCGTCTGTGGCCCCCCTCTCCCCCCAGTGCTGTCTGCATCTTTGGTCCATTGAAGGTCTGATTGTCCTTTCCTCCCACATCCCATTCCTTACCACTGAAGATGATCTGCATTCCTCTGCAGTCCCCCAGATGTCACAGGCTTACTCCACCATGGGTCCTTTGCTCATACAGCTCTCCTGCCTCCTTCCCCCTCCTCTGAGCTGACTCCTGCATACTGCTTTTTCCCTGGTCTCACCTTCTCCTCTTGAAAGCTTTACCTTGGTTTTCTGGTCCAGAAGTGACAGCTGCCCCGTGTTGTGCTCTCCCAGAGCCCTGCCTGGCTCACACCTTGTGTTACTCCTGCCCCTTGCCTGGCTCTGCTCTGGAGCCGCAAAGAGCCATGTGGGGCTGTGCATAGCCTGGCTGTCCTCTGGACTTCAGGCTCCCGAGGGCAGGGCCTGGACCTCTAGCCCAGTGGCCTGCCCACACTTGACTACACACAAGTGTGTGTCAAGCAGATGAGCAGAGGGGAGAGCGCAGCTCTGCCCTTCTGTGCCCTCCCTGGAATTAGTTTTCACGAGGGTGAGGGTCCTCTGTGATTGGGGCTGATCTCTCCCCCCTCCCCAGGAGAGTGTGTCATCCTCAGGAACCCCCCACAAGCGGGACTCCTTCCTCTATAGCACGTGGCTGGAGGACAGCGTCAGCACCACCAGTGGGGGCAGCTCCCCAGGTAGGGCACCAACTGCTCCTGGGCGGGAGTGGGCAGGTACAGAGGGCAGGGACCACCTCATACCCCGGGGTGGGGGGAATGGGTGGATCATTGCTCTGGGCAGTGTTGTGTCAGAGGACAGGGGTTGGTGAGGAGCTGAGCTGAGCTCATGGTCCCTAGGGAGGGACTGGATGGAGCAGGAGCACTGGTGCCAAGCGCCCGGCCCTGACCCCCATCCATGGCTCCCTGAGCAGCTCCAGTGAGTGGTTTTCCCCTGCCGCCTCCCCAGGCCCCTCGCGGTCACCCCATCCAGCAGATGCTGGCAAGTCAGGAGACCCCGCATGTCCTGAGATCAAGATCCAGCTGGAAACCTCCGAGCAGCCCTCGCCCCCACTGGTAGGAGCAGAAGCTCGAGGAGGGAGCGGAGCCCCATGGGGTGGCAAGCATGGGTCAGGTGTCCAGGGAAGCTGGTGCCCAGGAGGGCTGGGCACACCCAGTGATATGTGCTTCCCTGTCTCCTGCCTGCCCTTTCGCCTGTCCTGCCCCTGCCTCTGGCCACCATCTCTCCGCACAGGGCTGCTAGCCGGCTGCCTGCAGGAAGGTAGACAGAAGGTCAGCTGTGTGGGCTGGGAGGGTAGGGGGGGTTGCCCTGGGTAAGGGTTGAATCCCTTGCCTCAGTTTCTTCATCTTGCAGTGGGGCTTATGATGCTACTGAGGTGCTGGGAGGACTTGATGGGTGTGGAAGGGCTTGGCGGTCCTGGGGCAGTAGAGGGTGAGGATTCCAGCTGGACAGAGCAAAGGTCCTCCAGAGGGCGGCCCTCCTGCCTGCTGTCCCCTGCCTTGAGCTATCTTGTCCCCTCTCCCTGCAGATGAGGCCACAGAAGCACAAGGTGAAGATGCTGTGCCAAGTCCATGTTTGGGGCCCTCAGCCCTCTCCTCAGACCACCCATCTGGGCTGTCTCTGCAGGGCAGAGCCACCCAGAGCTGGGGGTGGGTGCTGCTGGCATCATCCCCACCCTGGGCTGGGGTCTGAGTTTGGAAAGGGATCTGGTCAGTTGGATCAAGACTGCAGGTCTGGCATGACCCTACCCTGGGCATCTCTGGGGGCCCCTCTGCAGTCAGAGGGAGAGACAGAAGAGGAAGAGGAAGAGTTCAGTGGACACAGATCCCTGCATCAGAGCAGCAGATGGGCTGTGTGTAGAGTGAACCCTGGGCTGGGAGCGTTGGCTTCTGATTTGGATTCTGCTGTGTGACTGTGGGCACGCCATTCACCTTTGCTGGGCATCTGCTGAGAATGGTGGCTGTTCTGCTAGAGGTGGCTGAAGACTGTGATTTGCACCTGCCTCAGCAGGGTCACTTCTCCTTGGGCCCCCCCATTACCCCAACCCCCTTCTTGAGGTCCTTGAGGCCCTGTGTAGGCTAAGGGGCTGGGAGCTGGCTGGACCCATCGCCCCTCCTGGACCCTCCAGCTCTGCCACAGTTCTGCCAAGTCCCTGTCCACTGCCTACATGTGACAGACCAGGGCCCCCTGTGGGGAGGAAGACCACCCTGGTATCTCAGCCAGCACCCAGCTTAACCCCTGTCACCTCACTCCTGGCCACTCTGGGCAGAGGAGTCTCAATGGGCCTGAGTTCAGGTCTCATCCACCTGCCCCCCCCCCCCCCCCCCGCCCTGTGGAGGAGCCCGCCAGGCACAGCTGCTGTGAGCCCGTGTCATCGTGTGTGTCCGCCCACACTGTAGGTGCCACGCCAAAGGCCAGCCCCCGTGGCCGTGTGTGTCAGTAACAGTTGTACAAAATAAATTCTATTTATCGCTATTGTACCTGGAGTTGGGCCTGGCTTTGTGTGAACCTTGTCCACACGGACCCCTGACATGTCCAGGGTCGGTCAGGTGGAGGAGATGGGCCTGTCCTGTCAGAGCTGCTGAGTGTGGCTCACCTCCAAGGCCAAGCCCCGGGGCCTGTGGTCACCAGCTGTGGCTTCCTCCCCCCGCCCCCATCCTTACTCCCACCTCATTCTACTCCCCACAGGAGGAAGAACCAAACTCTGGAGTTGGGCAGACCTGCGTTTAAGTCTTGGCACCTTCTGTACTTAGCTGGGTGGTATTGAGAAATGTAATAGTTTCTCTGAGCCTCTGTGTTGCTTTCTGGAAATAAGAGCAAGTGAGCCAGTGTTCACAAACCTGGTTCACGGTAGCTACTCAGTCACCTGTGGCCTCCTTTCTGATATTGTGACTCTGAGGATTTCCCTTTGCTGGCCACCAGGGGTCACTAAGGGATCGCTAAGCAGGACAGCAGGTGGGCAGGACCGGGGATGAGCAGGGCAGTCGTCCCCCGCCCCCCGCCCTGTCCGTGCCCCCCTCCCAGCTCACAGCACAGGACACTAAAAGGCAAAGAGCACTGGGGTGGGCAGCCAGGGGGGTTCTTGGGTGCATATGTGTGTGCATGGGTGTGTGTGTGTGGGGGTCCCTACAGGAAGGAAAAGTGCAGAGGCACTGGGACCTGGGCTGGGAAGGGAGCAAACAGTTGTGAAGCCATGACAGAGGGGACAAGGAGATGGGTTCAGAGGCCACATGGCCTTGCATGCCATGCCCAGGGCTTTATGCTAAGGACAGTGGGGAACCATAGAAAGACTCATTAGCTGTCTGAGGCTAGGGACTGTCTGGACAGGGACAGCAGAGGGAGGAAGGGACTAAGGAGACTGGTGCTGGGAACAGAGGGTGGCAGGTGGAAGGTCATGGGTAGCAGAAGCATCTGGCCAAAGGGCCTGATGGGCTGTGCAGCAGGTGGAGGGCGTGAGAGGACCCCGGAAGTCCAGCCTGAGTATTGGAGGCGGTGGGGGGGGGGGCTCTCCTCTGGGACTGGAGCACGGGAAGAGCAAGTTTTGAGAATGGGTCGGGGGAACATTAGATTTGGGGGCAAACCTGGAATTGAGCTCCAAGAGGTCACCCATTACTGACCTCCAGACAGCTTTTCCCCCAGGATCAGATGCTAAGGGCATCCTGGGGCCCTCCAGAGATGCCATGCTTTTCCTGACAGGGTTTCCCAGATACTTCAGGCCACCCAAGGCCCATGACTCACACCCAAACCCAGCTCTGCCCAACAAGGTTTGGCTCCAGGCTGCCTGGCTCAGTACTCCCATCCCCCAGTAGCCTCCTTGCAGTTCCCCGGGCCTGCACCCCTCATCTGGGCTCTGCAGCTCCCCGCTGCAGCCTCCCCTCCACCTCCAGGGCCACAGCAGCCACAGCGGCCCGCTTCCAGCTTCCTGGCTGTTGGCTGAGTTCATTCATCTAATGATTTTGGCTGTCTGGGTCCCCATTTCTTCCTCTGTACAGCAGGGGATGCCAGCAGCCCTACCCTGTTGGTACCTGGTATGGGAGTCAATAGGCACAGCCCCACTGAGTTCTTGGTGCAGCTAGAGATGCAGGGGGCTCATGAAGACAGAGGGGTGCGATCCTGTTAACCAACCTCCAGGGAGGTGAATCATTTTTAGTTGAAACCTACAGCTCACTGCGTGCAGGACACAAACGAGGGCCAGACTGGCACAGATGCTTAGAGCCGGGGCTTGGGAATGGCTGGCAGGCAGATGCCTCCCTGGGCTCTAGTGTCCCAGGTTTCCATTCCTTCCCACAGAACTGCCCCACAGCAGGGGGCCCAGCTGGGATGGACACAGGTGGGTAGCTAGGTAAGCAGAACCTGCCCTGCCCCTCTCGCCAGGCTATGCCAGGCCCAGCAGTAGGAAGGGAGGCCTCTGGGCCACAGTCCAGCCCAGCCCCCTATTCCCTGGGCTCCAAGGTGGGGCCAGGGGAGGATGGAGACACATCTGGCCTTCGGGATCAAAGCATCCAGCACTGTTTCTCTTGTTCCTGTGCCAGTTTTGCGCCCACACTGGGTTCTGAGGTGGGGAGGGTGAGCCAGAACACCATTCCGAGGCTGGAATTAGGGCTTGGGTGAGGGGCACAGCTCCGGGAAGTGCCAGGCTCTGTTTGGAATAACCCTGGTAGTGGAAACAGACACTTGATGTTTCTTCAGATGCAAGGGAAGGAGCCATTGAGGTGCAGGGCTGGCGTGCTGTCTCGACTCTCTGCCCTGGGACCTCCTTGCCCTTCCGTCTGCCTCTTCACCTGTGCAACAGGAAAAGGTCCCTACTGTGGCCAAGAGCTGGCCACCAGGTCTCTAAGGTGCTTTGCATGGTACCTATACCTGGCACAGAACCCATGCTCCAAATGAGAGTTGCCTGCCCCCTGTGGACAGGATGTCCGCGGACATCCATAAACCAACCTCTGGTTGCCAGAGGTGGCCGCGGGCCCAGCCGGCCGGGGGCCAGAGGCTGGGACCTGGATGTTCTCTTCTGCTCAGGCCACAGGGGGTGCTCAGCCAGAGACCCTGGAATGTGGACACCCCTCCCTCCCTCCCTGGGCCTGCCCTACCAAAGGGACAGCCCAGGACGGAGTCTCCTGAAATAACCAGAGCTGGTTAGCAAGGCTAATTTTAAAAGCCACTCTGGCTGCCCCATGGGCCCTTCTGGGAAGCCATGAATGTCTCTGTGTGAGCCCCTGGGAGGGGCTCAGAATGGACTCACATCCCTGCTCTCCAAAGCTGGACACCCCCAAGCTGCTTCCCAAAGCCTGGGCCCAGAGCTGGGATTCAGGGGCCCAGCCTCCCCTCTGCCCCAGTCCACCTAGGCAAATCCTGGGCCTCTCCCCATTCTCCCCATTGCTCCTGTGTGTCCTGAAGCAGCTAGAGGAGGAGAGGCTTCAGCCCCATCTCTCCATCTTGGCCCTCTCCCCTCTGTCTCCATGCCTGCCTCTGATGCTTTTGGTCTCTTCTGCTAGGCCTCTGTCCCTCTCTCTGGGCCCATCCCCCAGGAAGGAGGCTGGACACAGCATTCTTCATGGTTCATAAGCTGGGCAGTACAGCCAGGTGATGGTGGGTGGGGTCTACCTGGGGCCAAGGCTGCAGGTGGGGCTGGTGGGGAGGGAGGGTAACAGTGTTGGGGCCAAGAGGAACAGTAACCAGGTGGGCAGGGGCCACGTTCAGGCACGACCTGGGCCATCTGGCCAGGCTGGGGGCCAGCAGAAGGAATGAGTGCCGGGGGTAAGGTGGCCAGACTTTAGCAAATAGAAACAGACGGTACCCAGTTAAATTTGAATGTCAGATAAACAAGGCATCATTTTTAGTTTATACCTCATGCAATATTTGAGACATACTTATATAGCAAAAAATGATGCCTTGTTTACCTGACATTCAAATTGAACCGGGTGTCTTGTGTTTTATCTGGCAGGGGGCTGTGGGAGCACGGGGAGGCTTCTCAGGGGCAGCAGAGGCTGCAGGCTAGTCAGATGGGGGAGGCATCGCTCACCTGGAAGCTCTCAGTTTTCAAGGGAGGGGACAGTCCTTGGGGACTCGACTGTACTTGACGCTCAGTCTCAGAGCACATAGGGGAAGCTCCATAAATGTTTGTGGACTCAATAACCATCAACCCATCCCTGTGAAGTGTAGGGCGACATGGCCAGAAGGGGGCTCCAGCACCAAAATTCTTGGGAGCCAATTGGAATATTCACTGCCCCCAGCCATGAGACTCCTAAGCCCTGAAAGTTGGGGATCCTTGTCTCTTGGGAGATGAGATTTGGGCCTTTACCCGATGGCCCATTGACCTCAGCAGCCTCCCTAGAACAGGGCAACTGGAGAGAGGCCTGTAGACCTGTAAACCTCCCCACGGAACAAGTCTCTTAACATCTATTCATCCGCCGATTCATTTATCTACCTACCCATTCACCCATCTACCATCCATCCACCTATCTAGCATCCCCCCCCCTACCCACCCACCCATTCATCTATACATCTATTCATCCATCTGTTCACTCATCCATCCACCCACCTAATCATCCATGTATCCATCCTCCATCCACCCACCCACCCATTCATCCATTCATCTATATATCCATGTATCCATCTGTTCACTCATCCATTCAGACTTCTAGCCATCTATGCATCCATCCTCCATCCATGCATCCATTTACCTATCCATCCACTCATCCATCTGCCTACCCATTCTATACATTGCCTACCATTCTATACATCTGCCTACCATCAATACATCGTCCATTCATCCACCTACCCATTCATCCATTTACCCATTTATCTACCCACCCATCATCCATCCACCCACCGTTATCCACCCATCCACCCACCTCTCACCCATGCATCAATCCAGCCAGGCATCCACTCATCCATCCATTCACCCACCTACCTATTCATCCATCCATCCACCCATTATCTGTCCATCTATCCATCCTCTTGCTGACTCAGTCAATTTCTGTTTGTTGAGATGAGTCCCCCCACATCTGCCAGGGTGTCCTGCTAAAGAGTGTGGGGAGTTCATCTTAGCCCCATGGGACACCCGTGCTGTGGTGCTTCTGGCACTGCTGCTGCTCATTATTGCCAGGCCAAGGCTCCCTGGGGGAGAGCAGGGGCCGTGCAGCCTGCGATCACACTAGGAAGCCTGACTTCTCTGAGGATTGGACCCCCACATCTCTAGCCCTTTTTTTCAGGGCAGGCCATGGGCTCCAATAGGTCCTGTGCTTCTAGATGCCACAGTAAGTTTTTCAGAGAAAGCAGAGGATGAGACATAGCTTAGGGCTCAGCTCTCTTTACCTGCATCGTGAGTATCCTGGATCCTCCTGCCTTGGTTTCCCCAGAGCACAGCAAGAGGGCAGGGCTGGACACCTCCAGGCCCTGGACGGGCCTCTGTGTGTCATCCTGTTAGTAACGTTTTAGCACTGAGCCTATAATCACATCTGTCCAGGGGAAGAAC